AAGTCGACGAATTCGCGCCCAAAAATGTTCGGAGTCGAAAGTTCGGAAGTTCTCGGAGTCGGCCCACCCTTAATCTGAACTCAACTGAACCGCACATTCTGGGCGAAAATTGCGCATCCAAGCCTTGGCCTTGCTAGCCCCAGAAAACAAGATCAACCGAGGACAAGCCAAAAAGGATCCTCGGGACACGGTCTGTTCTGGGCCAAAGCCTGGGGCCAAAGAGGTAGGCCATAAGCCTACACCTACACATATTAAACTAATAGTGAAAATAAATAGTGCTTAATGTTGTAAATCTATGGGCCTAAAGGACTATGGTCCAAGCCTGGAGTTGCCTCTTTAACTCTAGGAAAATAAATATGAAATTAATATTATGTCTAAGCAAGCAAGACATTGGTGAATATCAATTAGGCCTACTTACTGAGGTTAACAGTATGAAATGTGCTCTTAAGGCCTCGGCTTAACCTTTAAAGTTAACGGTCCGTAAAGTTAAAGAATACTTGATAGTTTCTTGTTATATCTTGAGGTTGATTCCAGAACTCAGAACAGACAAGGGGCCCATGCATATATTATGCTGGCCTAAAATTATCAGGAAGAACAAGGGCCTAAGTGAACAAGTTCCGTTTCAATATTCCCACGACGTTGCTAGGCCTAAACATGTTCTCGAAAAGTTTAGTATAGAGGCCTACCAATGTGTGTGAGCCAAGACCAAAGAGGTTCTTTGTGACACTTTGTCCAAGACCTGCAGGGTAAGACTAAGATTTGGCAAAGAACTAGGAGTAGGAGCTTACTTAGGAAAAGAAAAAAATCTGGATTTTCTTTCAAAAGCCTCTAATGATGTTGATAGCAGTCAACCAAGTACAAAACTGAAGGAAATCGTCAGAGTCAGAATATTCCAGTCCAGTGACAGTGACACTGCAGTGAGTTCATATCAGATCAGTTCTTCCATCCTGTATTCTGACAGTCTCGAACTAACACAGGCATCGAGTTTCACAGCCAACACAAGTTTTCGTAGGTTGACTATTTTCAGTTTCATATCGAGTCATTTTCTTACTTTTCTAATGATTCAGTTTCAGTTTCGGTGATCTTGAATGTCTTGATCTTGTTTGTATTTTGTAACTTTCCGTTCGTCGTTCCGTTAATAAAGTCCACGATCCATTTGTTTACTTCCAGAGAAGAAATCCGGAAGTCTTGATGACCAAATAGGCAACACAAAGAACAGGGATGCAACCTTATTCGTATTACGAAGTGACTATTCTCCAAACGTTCGGGAAAATAAAGTTGAACTCTATTTCTCCAAACGGTTTTCGTTCTCAAGATTTTTTGGTTATAATGCGAGATTTAGGCGTCATCCTTTCATTCTGCCATTGTGTGAGGACTGGGAAGAAGCATTTTTTGCTTCGAATTCCATTTTTAGAGCTAGATCTAGACTCTAGACCTAGATGTAGATCTAGAGAGTTTTATATGTCTGAATATTCAGATACTTCAGTTGTGGTTGGGGCAATGTTCCTGGACTAGATCTATACTTCATTTGAAAACACCTTACACTCACACACACACACACAGGCCACTCCTTTCGCTTAAATCAACTAATCTCGAAAATGGAAACCGTTCGGAGAAATAGAGTTCAAGTTTATTTTCCCGAACGTTCGGAGAAACAGAGCTGGCCATATTTTTATTAGTTCAGGGGGGCCCCTGAAACCCCCACTCTTGACTCTTGCGGGCCCAAAGCGGCGAATAATAATTGGGGGTGGAGGGGACTGCAGAAAAAGCGCCACTCTTTGCTTGAATTTTGTTTTTCTGGCTTTAATAGATCTAGATCTAAATATTTAGTAATTAAAGGCCATAGCATAACTAGGCTGCTATTATGAATGGAAGTGGCTATCCTCACCCCGGGTGAGAATAAAAATATGATCGACCTCTCACCCCGGGTGAGACTCGCCAACGTTGGCTATTCTCACCCTGTGTGAAACAAGACCTGTTTTTCCTAATTTCGGAATACTGTCTATCAGTATGGATGATCAAATAGACAAAAACAAAGAAAAAAATGACGTTATTATAACACAAAAATAGTAAGCTAATTTGGTCGTCTACAAAGATGCTATGGGGCTATTTCACTTTTTTAATCGAGCCGCACTACGCGGGTCGCTATTTTGTCTTGCCTGGAAGTTCTCACAAGATCTACTCCTTCTCTCTCTCTCTCTCTCTCTCTCTCTCTCTCTCTCTCTCTCTCTCTCTCTCTCTCTCTCTCTCTCTCTCTCTCTCTCTCTCTCTCTCTTTCTGGTCAATCGGTGTGGACGTTCAAATTGACAAAAACAAAGATAAAAAAATGATGTTAAAACACAAAAGTAAATTAATTTGGTCGTCTACAAAGATGCTACGGCTATTTAACTTTTCGAATCAAGCGGAACTACGTGGGTCGCCATCTTGTTTTGCCCAGTGCCCAGAAGTTCTCGTGCTACTCCTCTCTCTCTCTCTATCTCTCTCTCTCTCTCTCTCTCTCTCTCTCTCTCTCTCTCTCTCTCTCTCTCTCTCTCTCTCTCTCTCTCTCTCTCTCTCTCTCTCTCTCTCCCCCCCCCCCCCCCCCCCTGCTCTCTCACTGCCGACACAGTCACAGACAAAATTGCATACTTTCAACACAAGAGTGCTGGAACGTTTGTTCACAGTGAATGCTACACTGGTTGGCCCACGGTGAAGGCACACCGGGTGAGAATAGCCAAAAGGCTTGTTTGCGTTATTCTCACCCGGGGTGAGAATATAAGGTGGCCATTATGAATGGGTCTAGATCTAGTAATGCTGGGCGGTACCAGCAAAATCCAGTGTCAGTAGGTGCCGAGAACCGCCGGTAGGTCTACCAGTACTGGGAGTGACACCAGTAGGTGACGTCACAGACTTCATGTCTTGCGTCTTACGCCACGATCAGGGCCGCCCTCATTCCCCTCTTAACCACACACACCAGTCGGAACTGGAGAGGCGAACTCTGATGCAAAATACCTTGGAAGCTCGCCGTCACCCGAGAATAAACTGTGCATTCAAAATTTTTAAAATAATTATCGCCTCTAAAAATTTATTTCATTTTCGGAATCAGCATATCAAAATAAGCAAAGTAGCTTGCGTGGAACCTGATTTGATGCCGTATTTAAATTAAAGCAACTTTCGTATTTTATTGTCAATTTTGAATCTGAAGTCATGTATCAAGGTTAGGTCACCCGCTGCGTTGTGCATCTGACGTCACATCTGCTAGGCCTAGACACACTGCACATTTCCCTTGGCCCGGTAAAAAAACGGTTGGTGTCGGCTCCTTCCCAGAGCCGGTACTAACTGCCTGTGTCGGCTCCTTCCCAGAGCCGGTACTGGAGGCCTGGTGCCGGTACTGACGCCTCCTTCTGAAAAACGGGGAATTCCGGTACTGGATACCAGTACCTGCCCATCCTTAGTCTATAGTAGATAGAAAAATCCATAGCAGAGTGTGGGTGGGGACTGGGCAGCAAAGCCTCAACAGGGCTACTGGCCGTCAGTAAAATTCATTTATTATAGAGGCACCAACCATCCATGCCTTGCCTCCTCCTGTCGGAAGGAGTTACGCAGAAGGCCAACCGACCAACAATTACACACAAAAGAAGGGATATTTTGAGCGAGGTCCCTAACCCTAACCCTAAACCCTAACTCTTGTATAGTTTGCTCAGTGGACCTTGTCACGGTAAGTTCCTCTGCGGAACTCCTCCCTTCCTGTCTGCCGATGTATTATTATTTTGTCCATTAACACTTTTCCTACCGCATATGCGGCTCGCGGATGTGGCCTTGCTGGACCGAGAGTCGCAAAATACGGCTCGAGTGGCTCACTATCTATTCCAATCAAGTGATGAAAAGGCATGAAATTCTCAGCCAATCCACGTTTTCGAAATAATAGAATAGACTTCCTGTTAGGAGATATGAAAGAAAATATAGCACTGACAGACGATTTTTGGTCTTTTCAGCCCTTTTTTCTGTCCCTTTCGAAACGTAAAAATGAAAAGAAAAGTGCTCCCCTGAATTCAGAATAAGTCTCATATTTTCACTTCTATATAGGTATGAATACTTAACTTTCAGCATTTCTTTGTATTACATGAGGCAACCTGCCTGGGCAGTTTGAATGATGCTGTTGTACATTTTTAGTTATGACCTTTCTAAGCTGGAAAATTGTTGATTTCATATGATGACACCTTCAATATTGCATAATAACTTTTTGAAACCCCAAACTAATATAACTGGAATAGATAGATCTTCAATTTTGTATCACCGTCTGATAGAGTATTTTTTAACCTTTAGTCTTTAGTTTGATGTGCCGTATGATATGGTTTGTGTGTGTTTGGTTGGGTGTTTTGACATTTTCATTTGGTGGGGTAGGGGTGTAAAAATAGGTCATGGAAAAGGCCTGGGCCAGTGGTGGATTTTAGTCTGGTAGGAAAAGAGTTAAAGATTTCCCCACCTTTAAAGCTAACATCTCGACATTCTCCCATTCTGGCCTCAAGAGTGCTGGAATATCAATTCTGACTTCAACCTATATTGTGTGTTTTTAACAAGGGGGACGTTTTGCCCCCTTGACCTAATAAAAATATGAGGGGAATGGACCACAGTGGATCATGCCTTGACCACATGGAAAATGGAAGTCAGTTCCTGCTCAACTCGTTGCCCCACTTCTGTGTGAGACAAAATTTGTAGCTCTGGAATCTCCTCAATGCCAGATGTACCGGACTGCTGGTAGACCACAGACCTGGGTTGGAAGAAAAGCCACAGGCTCCCCAGCAAATATAATGGCAAAGAAAAAGAAAATAAATTCATCCTCGTTTATCAAGGCAGTGTCCACCCAGGCTGCTAGTGAAAAGTTGGCTACTGGAAAAACAACAGTTTAGACTAGACTACTCCAGGTCAACGTTTGCGGCCTCACAAACAAAAGAAAATGAAATCTCTCATCTTTTGGACTGAAGAAAAATCCACCTTACCCTACTACAAGAAACTATTCGCCATAACACTGGTCCCTACATCCCAGGTTACACCCATTATACCTGCAGATGCCCAGACTGCCTGGGTGTAATCACCTACATCAGAAATGACATGCAAGGAAAAGTTGAGAACAACGCAACTACAGCGGCGCTCGGATTCAACGAGGTCGCCGGGCCTGACCTAAAATCTCGTTGAATCAGAGTATTTGTTATAGCAAACATTTGGTTTTGTGTAGATAATTACATGTGCTGAGCAAGTAATGTATAAAGAGAAGTAACAAGTGGTGCCTGAAATGCCTGCACATTATGAGCTGTGCAAAAAAAAAGACCGATTCGTTCAAATGCTCACTTGTGTCATCTCGATTGTTTGCCAAAAAGTTGTGTTGCTGAGTAGAGCCTAGCCAAGCATACGGCAACTGTAGATTCCATAGACCAGCGCACAATTCTTTACGTAGATCTACGTCAAGACTAACTTATCATTGTAATAATGATCAGTTGCCGGGTG